TTGCCAGTGGGGGAGCCAAGAGCCTAAGTCAAGGGTACAGGACAATACAATTTAAAAATAAATAATTAAGAAATAATATACTAATTTTTAAAAATTAAAAATATAAGGTGTAAGATTGTAAATTTTCATACTACATGTCCAATTTTCTCCATGTGAGGAGGTGCATTTGCCCCTCCCACATGTACATGGCTTCGCCACTACTAATTGCCATCACTAAATTTTAATATTAATGATAGATTAGTGACACATATTTTTAATTAAAAAATTAGTAAAATGTGCTTAAGTATTATATAAAACTAAAAAATTATAATATGCATAGAGAGAATTCGTGAATAAAATTTTAATGACTATCAAATTAAATATTAATCAAAATAATTTTTTATTTTGTTATAAGTAAAATATATAATATAAAATGATATAAAAAATAAAAAATATTTTTTTATTTTATTATGTAAATTTAAATATAAAAATAAAATTTTTATCATGTGAAAATATTTTAATTATAGCATTGATAATATAAAGTTCGTAAAATATATTCATTGATATTAAATAATATATTTATCAACTAAATCTATACTAATTTGTATCTTTATATGTGATAACACACACAAATAAATTAATATATGTTATTAACATATTTAAATAATAATATATTAAAAATATATTAAGTTAAATATATCTGTTTTAATTAAGTAATATATATTAATATTGTACAGTAAGAATGAAAAATCATTGCAACTTAACCAACAAAAAGTGAAAAGGTGTGAATGGAAAGAGTGAGGTCTTGAGTTTAAAATAAGATGATGTCACAGAAAAAAAATTAAAATAAATGTTAAACAAGTGATGACGTGGCTTGGAAGTCAAGGTGGCGATAATTTGGTGGGTGGCGGGGGTGATGTGTGCTTAAAATGTGATATGATAGTGTCTAGACCTGCAAAAATTTTTTAACTATGAAATAATTTAATGACAGATATTTATTAATTAGTGACAAATATTTTCTATCACTAAATTAATGATGGATTCGTATTTGTAATGAAAATTAGCAATGGATAACTCATTGCTAAAACTAAAATTAGTGACGGATTTTGTTGATTAGTAACTAATTTTTTTAGTAGTGTTAGTTAATTATTTTTAAAATAATATTATCTTTTCATGTTTGCAATAAATTAGTTAATTTTTTTAAAACTAATACTATCTTTTATATTTTTATTTAATTGGGTATTTTGCTTAAAAGTACAGTTGAATGACTTATTTATTAATATATTTAAAAAAACTCATTAATTATACATTGAAAAGCTAGCCAAATGACTACTTTATTTAGATGTAAAATTTATTTTTTAAAAATACATAAATGGTAAAGGTTGAAGGTAGGAAGGGTATGATTAAACCAATGTTAAGAATTCTAATCTCTTGATTAAGGGTGGGAGTAGGTTAAGACTTTAATAGGAGCATGTAGCTTAACCTATTCAAGTCTAACATAGCCTGCTTATTAAATAAGCTTAAACCAGGCTCAAACTTTTAATTAAACTTTTTTAATTAAATATGTTAGGTCTATTTTTTAAAGCCTATATATATATATATATATTATGTACTATATCACAAATACATCAGTTTTATCATATGTTTTAATCAATTTATTCTTTATTACTTGTAGTTATATTTTCAATCATATTTGACTTATATATTAGTTTTAATATTATTACTTTATTATTATATTATTTTATAGTTTTCAAGTTAACCTATTTCAAGTTTAACATAGCCTGCTTATTAAATAAGTTTAAACTAGGCTCAAACTTTTAATTAAGCTTTTTTAATTAAATGTTAGGTCTATTTTTTTAAGCCTATATATATATATTATGTACTATATCACAAATACATCAGTTTTATCATATGTTTAATCAATTTATTCTTTATTACTTTTAGTTATATTTTCAATCATATTTGACTTAATATATTAGTTTTAATATTATTACTTTATTATTATATTATATTATAGTTAGCAAGTCTTTTCAATTCTTATATGTTTATAATTAATAAATTAGATTATATATTGTATATTATAATAGTTTTAAAATATATTTGAGACATATAAGATAAGTGCGAGCCTTTTAAAGGCTTACGTGTAATAAGCTTACAGGCTAGTCTTTAAATAAGCTCAGGCTTGAGGCATAAAAAAATTTTATATAAGTTTCAAGCTTTTGATTTACCACATAGGTTAGGCCTATTTGAAAAAGCTTAACTCAGTCCAATCTATTTTCACCTCTATTCTTTATGTATAAAAAAAATAAAGACAATTATTAATGAAAGTAGTAATTCAGAAGGAAAAAACAGGCAACAAAAGTAACCTTCGCCTTTTGGTTAAGTTTTTACAGACAATCTCACAAATGGTAGATGTTAGATCCAAGTTAAATATACTTAAAAAAAAAAAAACTAGTATGTTTGGACACTTGATCTAAGAAATATGACCGGAAATTTTTATGTTAAAATTAATATTAAAAAGAAATTTTTTATGGCATTGGTGGAATTTAATTATTACTGAAAATTGTTTAGTAACATTTATCCAGAACTATTCTCATTTAAAAAAACCAAAAAGGCTGACACATACACAATGCATGCAGGGGCCATCCGTCATCGCCGTCGGCCACCGTATCCACCGACACCGAACGAACAGCTTCCAGTGCATAAAAACCGACCACAACAAACAAAGTCACTAACTATAATACGTCATGAGTCATGACATGATAACTACTCCCCAAACTGTCTTGTATACATATATATATATATATATATATATATATAATATATATATTTATTTCATTAAAATTAAGTGCCTGTTTGGATTTGGCTCCAAAATAAATTATTGCATGGAAATCATATTTTAACAAAAATTATCCAAAGTTACAAGTTAAAATTAATTATAAATTTAAAATTATATTTTCTTAAAAACATCAAAACACTCATTATATATGCTAAAATCAATTATAATTTAAAATTATATTTTTTTAAAAATATTCAAACACCTCTTATTATGTCAAAATTAATTATGAACAAAAAAAATATAATTTGTAAAATAATTTATATGATTTTTGAATAAATTTTTAAAAATATATAATTAAAAAATTAATTGAAAGTAAGTAGTAGTAGCTTATGAGATAACCATAATTTTGCGTTCATAATCAATTTTAGCATGTATGGGGGGTATTTAAATATTTTTTAAAAAAACATAGTTTTAGTTCACAATTAATTTTGACATGTATAATGGTATTGAATATTTTTTTTAAAAAATATAATTATGAATTCATAATTATTTTAATATGTAATATAGGCGTTTGAATATATTTTTTATAAAAAATAATTTTAACTTCTTTTTAATTCTGCTTTTTAATTCTACTTTTTTAATTTTGATCAAAATTAATCTTATTAACCAATTTTATAAATTAATATTACCACTAATATAATTAATTATTTCTAAATCAATCACATCAATTAATTTTTTCATAATTAATTATTTCCAACTAAAATTCAAACAACCCTAAAAAATTTATTAAATTATTGATATTATTTATAGTAATTTTTTAATAGATAAATGGGTAAATTATTCTTTAAACTTTAGATCCAATAACATTATAAATCCTAAACTTATTTATTATTTATTCAACTTTTGAATACGGTATAATTTAATTTTGCATCATTAGTTAACTAGGAATAATAGAAAAAGATCTTAAATATCACAAAAAAGGACAAAAATTACAATAAAAGATCTAAAAGTTACAGATAAATGATTCAAAAAATTATAAAAAAAAACCAATTTTTTTAGTCTTTTTTTAATACTTTTTGAAGTTCTTTTTTATCATTTTCTAGTCAACTAACTATTAAAATTAATTTTTTGAGCAACAAAAATTAATTATACATTATTTTAAAAGTTGTGGTAGTAATTTATTTAACAAAACTAGTTTATTTGTTCATTTATTTTTTTATGGGCTAAAATATATTTTTAATTCTTTAACTTTATATAAATTTTAATTTAACCTTTTAATTTTGTACAGTATTTTTGTAGTCCTTTAATCCTAATATCATTTGTTTCATGATTAGTTATTGTATTAGTTATTGTTATTTTAAAAAAAAATTAAATTTAATATGTTTATATTTAAAATATTTTATCAAAATATTTAAAGATCATTATAAAAATTTATTAAAATAAAACTAATAATATTAAGGTTAAATAATAAAAAAATATTTTATAATTTAAAAATTAAAATAAAATGTTATATAAAGTTAAATATTAAATGAATGCTTTAACTTTTTTAAATTTGTTTTTTTTTGGGCCAAAAATTTGTTCTTATTAAATGCATATTGTTAAGAACAGTTTTTTCCCAGGTACTCCTCCTTGTCCTAGTTTCCATAGTCACCCTCTCCCTCATTCCCTTGGCTCCACGTGTCTCTCTCTTCAGTCCCACCTCTTGGGCTTCTACTTGCAAGCGAAGACATCACAGGACACGATACACTCTCTCCGATTGCCTTTTATAGCTTTCTTTGCCCCGTAACTCACGTATAATATTATATATACACACCTTTCCTTTCTTTTCCCCCAAAACTGATCCCTGTACCTAGTTTTGTACCACTTCAGTAAGTTACATTCTTGTTCAAATATTGACTATGCGTACACACACACACACACACACATCTTCATATGCTGTGTTTTCAATTTTTTTTAGTGTTGTGTGTTTACTGAGAGTACTTCTGGGTTTGCTCTTGAACCTTTTCTCTTGCATGCAGCTTTGAGTCTGCATAAAACTAAGTTTTGAAGTTATTCTCTACCAATATCGTTTCAAGCTGAGCTCGGGCGAACATACACTGGATTAGTTGGAAGTCTTTGTCTATGTATCTACGATGCTTTCATGATTTTTTTTTATTAAGATTTTCAAATTAAAAATTCCTGGGTAATTTTTCTTTTGACAGGTACGATCTTCTGAAGAGTCTGAGCCGGGAGGAACAGAAAGATGACATTTAAGCGAGATTTCAAAGAACAATTGGTGCATGAGTGGGCAGAAAACTACATGGACTATGCGGCCCCTCAAAAGGATATTAAAAGAGATTAAAAGTAGTAAGCAAAATCAGCATCATCATCAGAAACCACGTGATAAATCCTTAATACGCCACAGACTTAGTCCTGAAAGAGCATTTTATGGGCTTCACTTGCGACATAGCGACCATGGAAGGATTGAAGGCGATATCGAAGACCGTCAGGTTATAGATGTCAAGAAATTAAAGCAAGATGGTTCTTCTGGTGGGAAATTGTATCAGACCCATTTCCTCAAGAACCATGAAGAAGGAGGAGGAGCTGAGGCAAGGTTCTTAGAAGCTTGATGAAGAGCTCAACAAGGTCAATTCCTTTTACAAAGAGCAGGTTGATGCATTGGATCATGAAGAAGCTCTCTTGAACAAACAATGGAGGCTTTAATCGCATTGCGGGCTAAGGTGACAAACCCTGATATAGGTAAATGCAAAATCTATGGTCGCCCTTTGTTTCCTTAATAGTTCCATCTGATCTTAAGACCCTTAACTTCATAATTTTGTTATAAAGAATTTCATGGATGGATATCTATTCTTGTTGAAAGATAATGAATAACTAGCAGTATGATTTTTACTAGCTCTATATATCCTCTATTGTAGTGCATATATTTACAGAGAAAAACTAGAATATATTGTGTACCCGTTTCAATATGAACTGAATTTGCAGAGATGCAGAACTTGAGTTCATCGTCCGCAAAAAAAAAGGGTCATGATCATCAGCAAAATGATACAATGGATGGCACAAACGAAAATACTAATCATGAGGAGGAAGCACAGAGTAATTATAACAGGAGAGATCCCTCGGAAATCCTGGACCAAGTAAAGATTGATAATACAATTGAATCTCAATCGTCAGCAATCAGAAGTGTTTTTACAGATTTCAAGGAAGCGGAATCTAGTTTCAGCAAGGAGAATCTCAGGAAAGTTGAGAAGCAATTGAGGCTTGTGTTTGTCGAATTCTATCAGAAACTCCTTCATCTGAAAAATTACAGGTATAAAAGTTGATGGGACTTGTTGCATTCCAATGAGTAAAATGGTCTTCTTTTTCCTAAACCAGTGTTTCCATGTGTTATGGGTTTGTAAACATGGATGAAACAGCTATATGAACCTCTCAGCTTTTTCCAAGATCATGGAGAAGTATGAAAAGGTTAGATCTGACGCCTGATTCCTGCCAAATTTCAGTTTCCTTAGTTTCTTTTTCTTCACTGAAATCAAAATTAAATTGCACTTGAGGAATTTGCAAAATATTTCAAATCAGATTAAGTCTTCTGTAATTTAATTTATTCCATTTATTTATATGATGGTTTGAAAAGATTACAACAAGGGCAGCAGCTAGAGAATTCATGAGAGTAGTGGATAATTCCTACCTGGGCACTTCTGATGAGGTTTGTTTCAACTTTGAATCATGTGTATGTTATAGTTAGATTATCTATGCCACTGCCTTGGACTTCAGTCATCAGATTAGCTGATTCAAATATGCTGCGCATAAAGTTCTAATTATGGAATTTTATCATATCTGTTCATTCATGACTATCAAGTGATAGTTTGTTGGTAGTCTTGAGGATAGCATGAAATGACGGTGACATAATCTTGGACCATCTTAGTGATGTTATGCAGATAATGTTGTAAACTAGCTGACTCACTTCATCTGATTTTAGGTGGCATGTATGTTAGAGAGGGTGGAATCTACCTTCACCAGAAACTTTGCAGATTTGAATCACAAGAAGGGAAGGAAATTATTGAGGGCAAAATCTGAAAGGGAAAAACACAGCATAACATTTCTTACAGGTAAATAACAACAATGCTTGGTAAATCCAGCAGAAAATGGTTGACTTGAAGATTTACTTGGAGATACTTCATTGAGTGATGTTTGCCTTGCCCTTTTACTCACAGGCTTCTTTTCCGGTTGCTTTGTTGCTCTATTATCTGCTACTCTTGTAAGAATAATTTCTCAACATTTGATGAAGCAGCAGCAGGGGTCATTTTACATTGAAAATATTTTCCCATTGTACAGGTTTGTATCAGCATATTTTCAGAACCTATGCTTCAAATCTTTCTACATTGTTTGATTTTCTTTTAGATCATTGGCATCCAGTGTATGCTTTTGTTTAGTTGCCTATTTTTCTTGCAGCTTATTTGGATATATCACACTACACATGCTTATGTATGCCGTGGATACATATTTTTGGAGGCGCTATCGAGTGAATTATCCATTCATATTTGGCTTCAAGCCTGGAACTGAATTGGGTTATAGGGAAGTTTTCCTGCTGAGTACTGGTCTCGCAGTTCTTGTGTTACTTGGTTTCCTGGTAATCTGCAGCTGGAGATGAACCAGAAGAATCAAAGCTATAGGACAGCTGCTGAAATAGTTCCCCTGAGCTTTCTCATAGTAATATTCTGATTTCTGACCATCTGAATTTTCTTATCGCGTTGAAGTACAATCTATCTGGTTATATGTGGTGTCATCATTAGGTTTCACTCTTCCAAGTTTCATGTGCAGCTTGTACTTCTGGTTACCTTCTGCCCTTTCAACATCATATTTCGATCAAGCCGGTTCTTCTTTATCAAGAGTTTATTCCGCGTCATATGTGCTCCTTTCTATCCGGTAATGGGAAAAAATGAATGGCATAAGCAAGTGGATTAAACATCAATCATAATTTCTGATCTTTTTGCAGGTTAGGCTTCCAGATTTCTTCTTGGCTGACCAGATAACTAGCCAGGTCTTATTCTCTCACATGGTCTTTATTGGTCACTAAACATTGATCTATTTCATATTGTAATGCATTATGCATCAATATCCATATTCTGCTATTTTGCTTAGGTCCAAGCCTCAGAAATTTTGAGCTTTACATCTGTTATTATGGCTTGGGGGAAAACTCGAGGAGGCAAGAAAATGTCAAAGTCATGGTGTTTATAATACATTGTCTTTCATTATCGGTGTCATTCCTTTCTGGTTCCGCTTAGGCCAGGTTCACAAATTCTATCCTTCATATGCCACTCTTAACTGCAGCATATGCTTTGTTTGAATTGCCATAGTTTTATAATTACATTCAAAGTAAGTTGTCCCTTTGATGTAGCAAGAAGAATCAATTATAACTTGAGATGTTCTATCATATCTGTCCTATTACAAGAATGGTTGATTTTAGGTACACATTTCTCTTCTTTGGAGGTGTCTTGTTATAAACCCAAGTCTTATCTAAAGAATCTGATATCAAACATTGATTAACAACATATACGTTTGAAAAAATATAACATTTAGTCCTGAATTTTCTTCAAGTATTGATTTAGCTTCTAAATTTTGAATTAAAACAACTCAATCCTTATAATTTCTTGATTCAATATAATCCAATTCCTATAATTTCTCAAATCAATAAACTAAAAGGATTAAGTTGTACTAAATCAAAATTTAAGGATTAAATTGATAATTGAGAGAAAATTTAGGGACTAATCTTCTGAGTTTCTTCAAGTCATGTTATTTGCATCTTGTTCAAGCATTGATCTTCATTGCAGTACAGTAAATAAGCAACACAATTGTGACAGTGCATGCGTCAATTGTACGATGATGGAGATGTAAGTAGAGCATGGAATGCCTTGAGTTACCTCTTCACTATTCTCGCCTTCCTCAGTAGGACTGCCTTTGAACTGAAGAAGGGAATGACTTGGAAGGCTTTGGCTCTAATAACGTCATCAATAACTGCAATACAGAACACATATTGGGATATCGTTGTCGACTGGGGGCTTCTCAGAAGGCATTCAAAGACCCCTATTTGAGGGATAAGCTTCTTGTTCCTCATAAGTGTCTACTTCATAGCTATGGTAACAAGAATTTCACCAATTTGTATGTTCTTTGGGTTCGGTTCTCTCCAAGTAGAATGTTCCTATGAGCGTAAGTTTAAAAACAAAGCTCAATCATAAAAGACTAACTTGTTGAATAGAAGAGTTTTTTATACATATATGCCTTACTTCATTTATTTTCTTGAGTGTTAGAAGACTTGTGTGGATAGCTCTTTACATGAGATCGGTTTCTTAATGAAAACATCAATGTTATGAGCCTAAATTTAAAGGGAAAAACCAATCTTAAAAGATTTAGGTAGAAAAAATCTTTGAACTTATAAACTATAGTTTATTTGTCAATGTGAGATTCATAATATGAGAAATTCTTAAATAGATTTGGTGTATTATATATTTGCCGTCTATTCAATAAAAACATAAAATATAAATTAATTATAATATTAATGATATTAGAGAGAAAAAAGTAAAAAATTAAATAGGCATTTATTATAAAAATAATAATATATAAAATTTTACTTGATTGAATTGGTGCAATTTTAATGGTTGTACCATGGATGACGTGGTGTAAGTCTATTCAAGAATTTCTCCTCAAAACAGAGGGTCTATTTTGTATGCATCTTAACAAATCAGGACCCAATATTCGGAGAGAAGCGTGACCCATAATGTTCTTAACATTTGTTTGATCTCTTTGCAATTGGCAGGCCCTTGATGTATTGCTTAGAGTTTTTTGGATGCTATCAGTGCTTCAACTCAATTGGCGTCCCCTTCAGAAAGTAGCAATGACAACTATCATTGCCTGCCTGGAAATCATACGCCGTGGGATTTGGAACTTCTTTCGGTAATTTCTCTTGCTGGACTTCTCAAAGGATTGAATCTTCTCAGCATTAAAACTCAGTTTTCTGTGGAACCAAACGTAAGATGGCGTTGTGTTATTCACTCAGGTTGGAGAATGAGTATTTGAACAATGTTGGCAAGTATCGTCCCTTCAAGTCTGTACCACATCCTTTCAGTTACTACAAAGAAGACAACGAGGAAGAGAATAAACAAGGATGAATAATGGAGAATTCAGGCAAAATTGAGCTCTTGATAATTTACATTGTTCTAATAACCAAAGGACTGTTGAAATTATTTTTATTTTATTATTTAAAAAATAGTGTTTTAAAAACATATTCTGAAAATTAAAAAATAATAAAAATAAGTTTTTTTTATTTTCCCTTATTTTTTACATAATAATTTCAGAACACCTAAAAATATTTTTTTTTATTTTCAGAACAATATTTTATTTTTTTATTTTTTAGAATACTTTTTAAAAACACATTACTAAATAGGTATTTTTATATTTTTTATTTTAAAAAAATAAAAAATATTTTTAAAATAGATTATCAAACAGTCCCAAAGTTTTTTTTGCTTTTTGCTTTTTTGTTGCCTAAGCTCCTACTGAGTCTTCAGAACTTTTCCTTTTAGGGGGCGAGATTAAGTGTCATTTTTTTTTTTGGGAGTTGAGGTTGTCAGTTTTATTAGATAAATATTTTTTGCGAAGTAATTTATAATTACCCATGCTCCCACTATGGAAATATAATATTTTGTAATAAAATTAAATAAATTAATGTTTTGCGTCATTGATAAGTTGTTTTACGTGACGGCTTCGTTGATTAACTTCCTATGAATTATAGACTAATTCCAGCTAAAAGAAAACAAGATCGCATGATATATAATATAATAAAGACAAAATTTAGGTGGTTAATAACCTCCTATTTCTTACTCTCTCAATCAAAAATTAAGATGTTTTTTCATAAAAATAGCTCATTCTCTTTAAAGTAATATATTTTTTAATATTTATTCTTATTTAATAAAGTATTTTATTTAAAAATAATTATAAATTTTTGTTTATTAGAAGCAATTTTTTAAAAAATTAAAAATATCTTATATTTTGAATATCTATACTTTAAAAAAGCTTTACATTTTTAAAGAATAGAGATAATAGATTTTTTTCTTGACATCAAAGTAATAAATTTAAATCAATTTGGATAAATGAAATTTAATATAATTCTAATCATCAATTACAAATATTCCTTCCATTTTTGTATATAAAATATTTTTGAAAGAAATTTGACATTTTAAAATATTAGAGATTTTGATAAAAATAAATTACATTAATAAAAAATTTTTGATATTACATTTTTCATTCTATTCTCTTTTTAATATATTATTTTATAAAATTATAAAATATATTTAATAAATTTTATCAATATACGCAATGTTATCAAAAAGTATTAGAAAGAAGGGAATAAGAAATGAGAAATGAGAAATCAAATTAAATGCCAACCACGAAAATTGAGGTTACCCAACCTCCAAGTATATTCGATCAAAAAAAAAAAAATTCCAAGTAATTCATTTATTTTTTTATTTAAAAAAGAAAATTCACAGCGCTCCCCTCACGCAATACCGTTCAAAGGGTTTTAGGAGGTTTTAAGAGAAGCAGAGAGGGGGTCAAGCGGCGGCATTCCCTCCTTCCTTCGCAAGAAGCCCTAGCGACACAGCCACCGTCAACTCCTCCTCTTGCGGCGCGACTCTCCGCCGTGATCCTCGCAATCTGTAAATTCTCCAATCTCTCTGAACCCTATGTCCACGCCTGATACCAGACTCTCAAATCCAGACTCAGATTCGCCCCCGAGTCAGACCCCCACCACGCAATTGGATTCCCCGCAGATGATAAACCAGAAGATTCCCCATCAGATCAGCAGCAGCAGCAGGGGGAGGAGGAGGAGGAAGAGGGGGAGTGTGGATTTTGCTTGTTCATGAAAGCAGGTGGATGCAGAGATAGCTTTATCGATTGGGAGAAGTGCATTGAGGAGGCTGAGAAGAACAAGGAAGATATTGTGGACAAGTGCGTTGAGGCGACTGCGAAATTGAAGAAGTGTATGGAGGCTCATGCAGATTACTACGAGCCCATTTTGAGGGCAGAGAGGCGGCTGAGCAACAATTCGTCGATGAATTGGAAAAGGAAGCAGGGACAGCGGAGCAGACTGCAGATCAGAGTGCTTCCCACTCAAAGGAGGCTTCCAAGGATTCTGGAAAGGAAGGGGCTTCTAATGATAAGTGAGAATGACCTGGGTCCGTCTCAAATACGCTATTTTAGAAATGAAAATTGTGTCTTGCTTTTGTTTTCATAGTAGTTTATTTAACATAAACGATAAAGGAAAACGTTTTACAATCATGTTTTCCCGGATTTGTGGCTGGACTAGAGGCCATTGAACGTGATGAATTGAGCGCGCGCGCGCGCGCGCGCGAGAGAGAGAGAGAGAGAGAGAGAGAGTCCAATCTCATTTTTTGTTCCCAATAATTGGAATGATTAATGTTACTTACTTCAATTTGTATTTTTAATCCCCTTTCATTTTATAATATATATATATATATAAAATATCTCGGTTCTATGTTTTCATGTTGTGTTTTTCCCTACTTCAATTATTTGATTAGCAAGAAATGCCTTGACAAAGTCGCAGTTGTCGCCCTTTTACTGTCTGGTGGCTGATTTCATGCAGTTGCACACAAAATGGTAATGATGCTTGTGATGTGAATTGCTAGGAATGATTTTACTATAATGATTAATGTTACTTACTTCAATTTGTTATTTTAAATTTTATAATATATATATATATATATAATATCTCGGTTCTATGTTTTCATGTTGTGTTTTTCCCTACTTCAATTATTTGATTAGCAAGAAATGCCTTGACAAAGTCGCAGTTGTCGCCCTTTTACTGTCTGGTGGCTGATTTCATGCAGTTGCACAAAATGGTAATGATGCTTGTGATGTGAATTGCTAGGAATGATTTTACTATATATTTCAAGAAAAGATATTGCGTTTCTGACTTTCTGTTGGGTGCATCTTTACTTTTCTGATGTTAATTATCGTAGATATTGACTTTATTGTTCATTTTTGCATATTAATAAACCTGTTATGACCTGAATTGGCTAACTTCCACATGATAATTGGCTTACAAACTGGAATGAACAGTTGGTGTGATGATTTATTTAGAACATAAGGAATTTGACATTGCTGTTCCTGTTGTTGGAACAATAATTTGTACTTTAGTGAGTTTCCAATTAATGGGAAGCAGCACTTTTATCACGAGCTTAGTCTTATTCTGTTCGGACAACTTCCTTCCTCCCTTCCTTTCCTACACAAGAACATGAGCAACTTGAAAAAGGAGCATTTTGAACATATAGATATTGAATTGATCCGCCCTAGAATAGCCAAACATCTGATGAGTTGCAAGATGTTGGGGTGCAGCATTGTAATGGCTGGGTTAGTTTGCTGCATGATTCTTGGCCTTGGCAGCGTCATGGGAATGCCAATAGAAACAAGGCCAATGAAAATAGAATTATTTCCATTGGACTTGAGTTCCGATGGAAATAATCAAGGTTGCTTTGATTAAACTTATTATTTGCGCCTATGGCTTAGTCTTGACATTTAGGATACTTATGTTGATTAAAAAGTGGACTAGATAATGAAGTTTATGATTTGTTTTCTGTTATACTTTGTTTTGTTGCTATTGCTTTTGTGCTCCTTATTCATTTCATTTGTAGTGTAAAACCTCGAGTTTAGACAATTTGATTGCTGTTTTTATCTAGTATATTTCCTTGAAACGGTTATACCCCGACAAATCTGGGGCTTAATAGAAAATAAAATCGTTCTTCTCGCATTTTCCCATGCTTGAATTGGATGGGAATTGGACTATGTATCAGGTTAGTCTGTGTTGTGACAAATGTATCTGCGGCTATTAATCTCTGATATTCTTCTGACCTACCGGGGAGTGGGAAGCTATCTGGCCCTTCACAAAGTCTAGTTATTGCTGTTTTACAGTAGTAACTAAAATCCACGCTACTGCTCTCAAGATACAATTTATTGGGCAGATAATTGTGATGGAGAATCGCTCCACTGTGTCTCTTATGTTTACCAAGGTACAGCATTTGTCATGCTGGCATTTCTGATTGATGCATTTATGGGGCCTTAATGATTAATGGGATTTATTAACCTCTTGTAGTGTTAGTTTCAGCTTGATGTTTCCAGACTTGGAAGAGCCTGTGTGAATGTGTCTAGTAATGTTCACCTGGTTTCCTTGTTTAATATGGTAATAATATATGGCAATGGTTCTCTATCTCATAATTTTTTTTTTCGAATAAAAATGATATCATTAATACCACTGAACAAAAAGGGGTAACATTTCAAAGTTGGTCTCTTTGACCTTCCTCCCCCTCTCTTAGCCATGAAGGAGGATGGTTAAAGACGTAGTCATAATCTGGCATTGTTTGTGCATATCTAGCCACAGAGTCAGCCATTATAACATAAGACCTATGTTTGAATGTTAAAATAACATTCCAGGTCCTGCCAATAAGCTCTCTTGATTCTTGGATAACATCAGTAAGAGGGTGGCTCAGACACAAAAGCTTATTGTAATGGCATTCCAACTTGATTACAGGTGAAATTCAAACCATGTGAGCAAAAACAACATGCTGCAATGGTTTTTAATTATATAAGCAATGTCCCATCCCTTTCCTTTAGACAGCAACCGGGGTGTTTATGGGATGAGATGGAATCAGGACACCTATCTCGAAAAAAGATCGGGACCAAATTTGTCTTGTATCCCGTCTCAAAAGTCATCCTGTCTCATTACAAATCAGAACAAGACCAAGATGTCCTATCATCCTGATAAATCAGACAATGTAGGAGAAATGTTTGGACAATAACATTCGTTAAAATCTTAAGTAACATAATTTATTATTTAAAATAAAATAAGACAAATGCATAAATCATAATAATTTGAAGTCAATTATTGAATTATATTAATCACAACTATAAGTGTATAACACATTATGATAACAATTATAAGTGATTTTTAGGTTATAAAAGCAACAATAATAGATAAGTTAGACATAATATTAAGTCATTGTTTTTCTTCTTCAATTGAGATATTCTAAGCTAATTACTCTTTAAAAAATAAAATAAGAAATAAGACATTAACAAAAATTATTAAATAGATAGATATAAGAATAAATTGTATTAATTTAATTAATATATTATAAAGTAAGATATTACCTTACACTATTTACTCTGTGTCATTAAAATTATCAATATAAAAAAATTTTAGTTTTAAATAAGAATTACTTGTATTGAAATTAAAATTGATGTAATTAATAGAAGTATAAATTATGTAAATATAAGTAATATATTTAATGTATATTTTTAAAATAAAAAATAAAAAATATTATATATATACATATATATATATAACATTTGTGGTGGGATGTCTCGAAAGTAGTCCCGTGCCTCATCTCGTTCCAAATTATAGCTGAGAATTTAGGCTCGAGATAAAAAAAATATAATATTATTTTAATGTTTAGGCTTATTTGGGCGGTCCAAATAAGCTTGAAAAAATTCAAATCGAATCTAAACCTTGAATACTCGCCCGAATAAGCCTGAAAAAATTTATACCAAACCCAAACCTTGAATACTCGCGTATTGTATTTATAAAAAAAATTAAATAAACCCAAGGTCCCATCGCATCCATGTCCAAGTTGTTATTAACTTTAACTCTCCTAGTCTTCACTCTTCATTCACTCTCTAGACGGCTCTAGTGTAGCCTCTAGGTGAATCAAAAACCTTCCCCTCTCGTCTCATGTCGTCGCTCAGTTCTTATGTTGTTGACCGTCGCCTAGCTTGCCTGCCATTGCCTCTCGCCCAACTCAATCTCTCCATTCTAACTTCCTTTTTCTTCACTTGAATCACTTCAATAGTGATCGATGATGAGAGAAAGAGACAAAAATAAAAATCCTTCTCTGCCTTCTTTCTTGTTTGTAACAAGCGACCATGACAATGTTAGAATCCTCCTACTCCTTCTCTATCCAAGCAATTGGAGGTGTTCATGTAGTGTGTGTATTCTCCAGTCTGACCTATTTTGCTCTTCCATGCCTTCTCCAATCTTTGTCCATGTAATTATGCATGTTCAAGCCTCTATTTGAAGTGGTGTGTGCTATTCCCTGCTTTGCATCAACTGTATTCATCTCTCAGCCTTTCACTCTTCTCTCCACGTTAATTTTATGCCTTGATATCTCTCAGCCTCTCAAATGGTAAGCAATTAACTTTTCAAATTTTGTTATCAACATTTATGTAATTTTTATAATTTATTACATGTATTTTACTAATCTAGAATGTATTGTTATATTTATATTATTTGAAAAAAAATAATTTTTAAATTAAAATTGAAATCAATTCAAGAAAGGCAAAAAAAATGTTTTTAAAAGGTTTCGGATATTCAGGCCAATCTGAATAAGCCCAAAGACATTACGGCCAAGCTTAGTTATATGTTTTTTTTAAAGAATAGGATACTTTAAGTCTAATTCGAATAAGCACGCTCGAATTGAATCCCACTCAAATGAGCTCAACTTATCTGAATTATTGGCTTTATTTCAAACTCCTTTTTCATTCCATTCCACAAAGTCTCATCTCGCTTGTTTGAGTTTGGACTAGACCTAGTCTGATGTGATTGGAATGAAATTGGACCAATTGGAATAAGTACAAGTTGAACTCTCCTAGAGAGCTGCATGAATCCTTTTTTTTTTTTGCCTTTTTTGCCATCAATAGTAGCATGAATATCAACTAAATTTATCTTTTGATTAAAATTTCAATAGTTAGATTTAATATTTTTTAAAACTATTATTATAATATTTTTTTAAACTTTAGATTATCATTAAAGTATTTTATAAGGTAAATATTTTTAACTTCTTTATTACAGTTCTAAACAACTATTGACCGGTTAAATTTATTTATTATTTTAATGATAATAAAAAATTCACTTTAATCATTTAAATTTATTTATTATATAATATTATAATAATAATGTTATGAAAAATTAAATCTTAACTTTTAAAATTTTAATCTACAAAGAGAAATGAGAAGAGAAAATAGAGAAAAGAAGGGAGATTGGAAAGGTTTCTAGAAAAATTTTTGTTTTTTGTTTTATTGGTCAAACTCTAAAAAAGTTAGGAGAAGGGAAAGAAAGAGGGTCTTCTCTCGAACTATAATTTTGAACATGTACCAAAATTTGATTCTTTAAATAGGAGTTTCTCAAGTTTTTTCTTTTGAAAGAATACAATCAAGCCTCTTGACATATATGAAATTCAAAGTAAAATCTAAATGTACTATTCAAGATATTTCATATATAGTATATAGAAAGTTTAATATATATTAGATTTTGGGGGGAGTTTCTCTGCTTTTTATCACTCACCATCTTTTTTGTCGAGATGTGGTAGGTGATGAAAATGATAGTGCTTTTAGTGTAAGTTGATTATTTATCCTCCTTTATTAAACAAAGATATTTGTATGGAAGATATTTAAATTTTGTTGAAAAAAGGTAAAATTTAAATATTTTAATTTGGAATGAATAACTTATGCAAATCAATTGATTTTAAAAATTAGTTTGACCAAAAAAATATAATAAAAATAACAAAAACAAAAAAAGGTTTAATAGGAAAAAATACCTTGAAATTTTTTTTCAGAAGCGCCTGGCATCTTAAACTTTTGTTGAAAATATTTTTGTCCTGAACTTTTCAAAAAGGGAGCATTTTTGTTATGTATAAAAAACATTGACCATAAAATTTTAGTTTAACCAAAAGTTAAATGACATCATGAATTTTTGTTTGATGTTTATTTGCTCTAGAAGTTTTAAAAAGAGAGCAATTTTGCCTTACAATTTTAAATCATCCAAACCATGCCTATACTAAAAAACAATCAACTATCCGTCGAGTAATTCCATATCAACTCAACTATGTGGAAGCTCTCTTTTTTTATATTCGACAATTCCACTATCTCACTCAACTATGATAACTCCACGAATGACCCTAACTTAGACGCTTATGAGGGCTTCATAACATCAAACTTGGCCATGGCAGTGGTGGCAAAAACAATGGCTTGGATGTTACATGGGGAGCACAGGCAAATGGGGGGAGGACAACGACAATCTAAGGGAAGTTAAGAATGATGAATTTGCCATTGATGAACAAAGTAGTGACATTGTAGTTTTGAGCAACCGTTTTTGGAGCCGAAAGTGCCGAGCCAGATGTGAGACTTCTTATGAGGCTCACGAATCTAAGACACCCATTTTTTCAGAGTTCACATTTGGAATCCAATCTATGATAGTGCTGGAGCTTGTTGGTGGAAGAGGAGAAGGAGGAAGAAGGAAGGACAAAATTGCTTCATTTGTAAAAACTTTTAAGATAAATAAGTTCCAAACAAAAGTTTAAAATACCCAGCGTCTTTGAAAGAAAAATTCCAATGCAAATATACCATTTAACCCTTTTATTCAAATGAACTTTAACGATTAATGTTTTTTATATTTAATGATGGAGATAAAATGCTTTTTTTTTAAAAAAAAGTCCAGGGTCAAAATGTTCTCAAAAAAAAATTTAGGATACCAATTGCCTCCAAACAAAAAAAGTTTTCAGACATTTTTGCTCATTAACCCAAAAAAATAATGTTGATCATAGCCATTGTTTTAAATAAAAATTTTAAAACGCGTCAATGTTAAATTTATAAGAAGCTATAATCGACAGCATATACAAGTGTATTTCTTTTGGTACAATTTTTCTATTCAAAACTTTCCTAGAAACATTTTATTTCGTTTGAGCATGTCCTTAATTTTTATTTTTGTTTTTTGAATTATATGGGCAAGCACAAGCAGCTTAAAAACTGCATCTAGCTCCTTGTAGGATTAATCTAAATCCAATATTGTGCATGCTTCGGGAAAAAACTATACACATGTTTGTGCGTCAACGATGGATCCGAATCACACATCCTTGTCTTCAGCTTCGTTGTAGTTGAAAGGTAGGGGCACCGACTTGAAAGCTCTGAACTTGCCCACATTGTTCAAATGCTCATTCTCCACCCTGAAAATTTTGAATTGTAGCAATTCACTGCCCAGTCATTTTAACTTTAAAGAAATTGGGTTGGATTACTCCAAACGATTATTATCTTTCATACCTGAAGAAGCTCCATATGCCCCGACGTATGATCTCTAGACTTGCTATAATGCTAATCATAGCTTGTTTATGCAGGAAGCTGAACTTGAAATCCAATACTGTCTGCAACCACGCAAATCTCAGCAAGATATTCAGCACCTGCAATGGTAGAATTTGTCAGCAATCCACAAAAATAAAATGAATTAAAAAAAAATTATTTCAAAATCTGCCTGAAGGTTTCTATGTTAATTTCTCACCATGGCTGCGAAATATACGCTTTTATGAGGTATTATGAGTTTGTCTCTTAACCAGCGATTCTTGGAATTCTTTTGCAGGAGGCCCCAGTCTATGACAAGGTCCCAATATGTAGAAACGATTGCTGCAGATATTGAGAACACCCAGGCAAGCACCTTCCAAGTCATTCCTATATCAAGGCTGTAAGCTGTTCTGAGGCAAACAGCTGCTATTGTGAGGAAGTATTTCACTGCATTATATCCTTGCATTGCATCTTTCTCTTCAAAAAATCGTCTCAGGCACTAATTAGAGAAAGAGAAAGATCATTATAGTAAGCATAAATATTGGCATTGTGACACGACAAAATTTAAAGAATTCGATTGTGATCTGATTTGTCGCATTTTGTCTGTTCAATAGGTACAATGCTTTTTTTCTTAATAATGTATTTTCTTCCTAGTTTGGATGTCAAAAAAGCAGGGAATTCTGCTTTGATCTCTTCCAACCTTTAACTAGCATGGTATGAAGTGTTTCAGACGAGAGAGTTGATACCTGAAGCAAACGACACCAGTATGGAATCACAGCAACAATGTAGGAGGATGTTCTGAATATGCTGTATGAGTTGCAAGTATTTTGTCTGCGTTTGAAATCTCCCCAACCGTAGTAGCAAATGTAGAATTCTATACTTCTTAGAGCTTGCACCTGAATGCATAAAAAATGATGAAACGGGATATGTAAATTGCTAGGGCCCTATGATTCATTTCGTCCTCACGATTCACGAACCTGGCTAGTAAATTGATCCGCCAAAAAGAAATCCGGGAGCATGACCTAAAGAACATTGGAAATGGCATAAGTTGGATTTCCAGAGAAGAATAGAGTTCAAATAGCGGAAGTCTTAGCCAATTTACGTGTTCCACCATATTTACCTTGTAGAGAGGAGCACAGATGCAGTGGAACAGGCATGTGAGAAAGAAAAGCCGGCTTGAACGATACATGATGTTGAATGGGCATGATAAAATGGCAATCACAATCTGCAGAGGAAGAAATGAAGTCATCATGTAAGTTTCGAAGCTGAATGAAGATCCAATGGGTTCAGTGAATGTATAATTGTCTTACAAGAAGCAACAATGGTGGAATAAGTTCAGTGAAGACTTCATAATCTTTTGTCTTGGGATCCATCTCCATGTCAAGGTTCGCAAGTACACTGGCTAGTGCAAATGCTGCCAGTAAAAAAGCTAGGAGGAGAACATCAAGGTAGCTCAACTCAGATCCTTGCTTGAAACCAAAAATGAATGACTGATTCACTCTGTATCGCCTCCAGAAGTATATATTGGCAGCATACATAAACATGTGTAGAACTATGAATCCAAACAAGCTGCAGGAAATGTTTTTTACATGGTAATGCAGGCGTGTAAAGTTTTGATCATTAGATTAAGCTATGAGATTTTGGCATTCAGAACAATAAGGTTACCTATAAAGAGGAAACATGGTTTCCATGTATTGAGTACTCCCTGGGTGATTCATAATTTTGCGAGCATGGATGATCAGAGTTAATGCTAAAATCAGTGCTGCTGTGCAGCCAGCTAAAAAACCTGAAAATTTCAACAGAAGAAAACGTCAGGGGAAAGAAATCAAAGACTAAAAGTGCTTACAATTGTTTTGAACTATAGTAAATCTTGATTCTTACCCGTGGAAAATGTTATTCTATGTCTTGCTCTAGTTGGCTTTGGTCTGAGGAGGTTCAATCCATTATTACGATTGGAGTTGGAGAAGTGCTTAATGAATGTTTTCTCCACCTTCTCCATAAGCCTGATTACCTGCAAAGTTGAGCAATCATAACTTGTATGATATGGATGTTATAAAACTTCTAGTTTCTATTGACAATCTTTGGGATACGTTGATGTTGAGTTTCATGGTTTTCTTTCCCCATACAAGTCTCACCTCATCAGAGCTTCCAAGGTAGGAGTTGTCAACCATAGTCACATAAGCTTTTGCTGCGCTTCTTGATGTAATCTGCGGTGTATAGTGAAAGGTGAGGGGTAATAAAAAATCCTGGGTTCTCTTCTGTGCCAACTTGTAGTTTTAGAAAGATGAGGAGTACCTTATCATATTTCTTCATTATCTTTGAAAATGCCAATGTGTTCAGAAAGCTGCTTAATTATCAAGTACACAGTAGAAGAAGAAATATGGAAAAAAAAAAAAGTCTACTTGGTGAAGTAAAGGGGGAAAAAATGCCAGCGTGTCTAACCTGTAGTTCTTTAGAAGTCGAAGCTTTTGGTAGAATTCAATGAAAGCTCGTTTGAGTTGTTCTTCAATTTTCTTCAAATTCTTTCTGTTGGATTGTATCTCTGTTTGTGTAGAGTAATTGAGGAATCCTTTTATGGGAGGAGTCTCAAGAGTGTCGTTCAATCGAACATGATTAAGGACTTCCATAGGAGCTGGTTTGGTACCCTTGTTATCTTTTTCCTTATTTGCTTGAAACTTTTGGTCATTAAGTTGTATTTCCTCAACTTTGTTCTCACTAGAGTCATATGATTGACCATGACGGATGCTGTCCTCATTGATCGTCTCCATGACCAGGGAAACTCTACCTGTTTTGGAAGTTGAAGAAGATTAAATCAGTTAGGTAAACTTCTATGACTGTTCTGCAAGCTCTAATATGACTAAGCCAACGAAGATCCTTTCTTTGATCATAAACAGCAATGCTGCCAAAATTGCATGGGACTAATTAGCTCAAGTAAAGAATCAGCAAACTTGACCCTTAATCTGGTGGTTTCTCAAAGTCAATTGGTTAAGAACTTGTAAAAATCAATCCCAAACTGATAAAACCAGTCCTCTATTTTTTATGATATATTTTCTTAAATCCAATCATATTCTAATGTATAAATACAGTGGATTTACTATAATCAGATCACTAAACTTTTAGCTAGTATCTAATGATATGATTTCAAAACATGTTGCTTGATTTTTGCGAATTCAATGCATCTGCAGGCTATAAAATACACGAAGACATTGAAGGATTGATAGCAAGTTATTGTGAAACAAAGAGGTGAAAAAGCTTACCGTGCAATTTGGCCCCTCTGGGTGTAGAAGATGATAATGCAGCTACTGAAGTTGCAACGTCTGAAGCAAGATGAGTCATCTCCACAGAGCTATTGAACCATTGATAGGGTTTCTCAACTTTTATCCGGAAAGCAATCAAAGCTTCCATTTGCTTATTCAGCACGACAGCTTCCTTCATCACTTCTTCCACTTTAGACCTATAAAACCTGCCTGCTTTGTTAAACTCATCATCCAACCTCTTAAAGTATACCAACTCATATTCTCCACCTTCTTCTGCAGCCATCAGAAAAGTAGTTTTAGGTGGTAGATCCATCTTGTTGCACTGAGTTCACCATAATGGGTTGGCTCTCAATATCTTGTTCATAGGGATCCATGGAATGGTGGGTTTGTCTCTGAATGAGTCCACTGAAAGCCCTGTAGAGTGTAAACTTCCTCTTTAGGCCTCCTGGAGCTGCAGGTGGGTTGCTTCTTTCCTTGTAGCGCTGGACATCTTTCAAAAGGGTCTTCAGGTAAGTGTAATCCATGTATGCTTCCTTCCATTCCGGCACCATTCGTGCTTCAAATTCTTTCCCAAACTTCATTTTTGGCCTTTCTAAGCAACAAAAACTATTTGATGTTCGATAAAAATTCACTGGCTATTGCAGAAAACAAAGCCAGCACAGGAAGTAGAGTTAGAAAGGAAGTGAAATATTGGCTGATCAAACTTGAATGCCCTGTGAAGAAAGTTTCTGAAAGGATGATTATTTAAAATCATAGCTTCACCAGAGCAATGAAAGAAGACCCTTTCTGATCATGTTTGCAAGTTGAAAGTTCAGACGAAGGAGCTGTCGTAGGATAGAAAGCCATAAACATATATCTTCAGAGCCAATGAGTGGTAAATGGTGAGTTTGACATGGGAAAGATAAAAGTAAAAGTTCTACTCAAGTTTATTAACCTTTTGTGGTGCTAAATTCAGCATGATATTGCCAGACTTGGAAGAGCTGGTATGATTGTATCAAGTAATTTTCAATTGGTTCTCTTGTTTAATATGGTACGTCGCAATGGTTCTCTATCTCAAACCGTGTGATCAAAATCAAGTTGATTTGATTTTATATAAACAAGTTCATTAATAGCTGCATCGCAAGTTGATTACAGGTGAAGTTTTCAAACAGTGTGATCAAAAGCAACATGCTATAATATAATGAGTCTTTGTATGAACAATATCGTACCTCTTCCTTACAAACAGAAGCATGAAATCAGAATTTCCTGTGCGGTGCAATTGTGCATAGAACTTGAAATCCAATCCTGACATATAGAACTCGCTCTTCCAACATCATTCATGAATGTTCAATGCTTGTGAATTGTCATGGTAGGCATGTTGTGGCAAGTTGAAGTTTTTTAGCTCATTAAAATGAACAAGTCATCTCATTTTCCACCACTGAAACTGATTTGATTATATCTAAAAATGAAGATTAATACCCGTTTATTATTATGTTAGCTCGGACTTCAATTATTATATTAACCTCACCTAACAACAAAAATGAACCAAATAAACTTGGGAGAATCTCAATCACGGCCATTACTATACAAATAATATTTTAATGGGACAAGCGAATTTATTTTTTTTTTTTTAATTTGGCGGGGGCAGTTGAAATTTTTTAAGAAGGCAACAGAAATTTTTGGATCACGGTATGTACTATTCTCTCCGACTTGTGGGGACAATTGGCCCTGTCAGCTTACACATATGAACGTACCACACTGCCCTTGCCTTATGCTTATGGTGCGGGTTCGGTAGCCATTGCGTGTACCGTTGTACGTTTAGAGAGAAAAAATTGATTATAGATAAATAATTAATATGATTGATTTTGATTTTTGAATATAATTAATAATGATAATATTATGTGGTATAATTGATGATTCATACCACTGATTAAAAAGATCGAATTTAAAGATAACTGAACATAAGAATTGAACCATGGTTATATGAAAATATTTATTAAAATATTCTTATTACATGGTAAAATCAAGGGAAAACATAAGGGGACCTGAAAAATAAAGGTCACGTAATCTTTCTAAAGTTATAAAGACTGAAAGCACTTGAAAGAAATTATATGAATTAAAAACAAAACCAGATAAAACTATGAGGATAAAAAATTGTATTTTTCCTAAAATCAATTACAAATCCAAACTATGATTTCTTAAACATATACAAACATGCTTATTACATGCTAAAAGTAATTATAATACAAAAATCATGGTTTTCTTAAAAAGAATTGAAACACACCGATACATCCTAAAATTAATTATGGACTCAAAATAATTAATATCTTATAAAGAAAATCACATAGAAGAACCTTCAAATATCACAAATAACCAGTGAGGATTACAGAAATTATAAAATTAAATTTGAGGACAATGATCCTTTTTATAGTTTTAAAAATAATATTTGATTAAAATGCTCATGTCTAAAATGTCAACTTAAAATTCGTTAGTGCTAAAATCACTTTAATTGGTTTAAAATTTAATTAAGAAAGTTATGAAATTACTTTATTGGAGTTTGAAACTGTTTACTCCCAGTCTCGCAATTTTAGTTACTAGAAAGGGGCATGTTAGTTAAATTATGATTTTTTAAAAATGTAAAAAAAAAACATGGTTCTAATATTCAATTTCATAATTCCGTGGCTTTGGGTGGTTATTTGCATTATATGATGTCCCAATTTGTAATTTTCCCAATCTTATAAGCTACTATTAGTTTATGTTTCTATTTTTAATTCAACTTTTTCTATTATATTTTTTAAAATTTATTCAAAAGTTATATAAATTCTATTAGATAAAATTATTTTTCTTATCCAAACATGAATAAAGAAAAAAAATGTAAACCAATACAAGTCCCACCAATAAAAAATGAGTTAAAGGCATTTATGGCTCAACTATTTATTTAGGAATCTCTGATATTTTAAACTTTCATGTTATTCAATTTTTTTTTAACATTTAAAAATGATGTATTGAGCACTACGTTGTTAAAGGAGTTAGGATAAATAAGTAAATTACCTCGATCCAAACTTTAGTCCCAACTTCACCATAGATTTTAAACTTGTATATTATGCAAATTATCTCATTAACTTTTATAAATAATGCAATATGACCTTTGTTGTTAACATAAAATAATTTGACTGTTAGTTAAAAAAAAATGACAACAAAAGGCTTTAAAAACTACAAAACAAGGACCAAAGAATTATACTAAAGTACCCAAAAATCACAAATAATGAACCAAAAAATTAGAAGAAAAAAAAAGGACCAATTTTTTATACTTTTTTATACTTTTTGAGATCATTTTCTGTCATTTTTTATTCAATTAATGATTGAAGTTAATTTATGTTAATGGTAGAAGCTAAATAGCACCATTTTAAAAAAAATTGAGGGGATAATTTATATAATAAATAAGTTTAAGGTCTACGGTGTTACTGGATCTAAAATTTAAAGAATAATTTACTCATTTATTCAAAAAAAATTAATTTTGACCATTGTCCTAAAAATTACATAAAGGAATCTAAAAATTACAGTAAAACTCATAAAATTACTAATAAATATCTTCTAAAAAATTAATATTAATTAAACTCCTCGGTAGATGTCAGATACAAATTTGTAACCATCCATTGATCGCTGCCGAGTGTACACAAATTTGAGCGTTGATGGTGGATCCGATTTAGTCATCCTTGTCTTCGATTTCGTCGTAGTTGAAAGGTAGGGGCACAGACTTGAAAGCTCTAAACTTGCCCACATTGTTCAAATGCTCATTCTCCACTCTGAATTTTGAATTACAGAACTCACTACTTGGTGATTTTAATTTTAAAAAAAATTGATGATTCATCAAAAATATTATTCTCTTTCTTACCTGAAGAAGCTCCATATGCCCCGACGTATGATCTCTAGACTCGCTATAATGCTAACCATTGCTTGTTTATGCAGGAAGTCAACCTTGAAATCCAATACTGTCTGCAACCACGCAAATCTCAGCAAGATATTCAGCACCTGCAATGGCAGAATTTGTCAGCAATTCCTAAAATGTACAATGCCTAAAGAAGATAAAAATTATTTCAAATTCGGCTTGAAGATTTCCAAGTTAATTTTCATACCATGGCTGTGAAATATACGCTTTTATGAGGTATTATGAGTTTGTCTCTAACCAGCGATTCTTGGAATTCTTTTGAAGGAGGCCCCAATCTATGACAAGGTCCCAATATGTAGAAACGATTGCTGCACATGTTGAGAACACCCAAGCAAGCACCTTCCAAGTCATCCCATTATCAAGGCTGTATGCTGTTCTGAGGCAAACAGCTGCTATTGTGAGGAAGTATTTCCCCGCATTATATCCTTGCATGGCATCTTTCTCTTCAAACAATCGCCTCAGGCACTGATTGGAGAAGGAGGAAGATCATTTGGGAGCTAGTAAGCAAAAATATTGGCATTACTACACAACTAAATTTGAGGAATTTGGTTGTGATTTGATGTGTTGCATTCTGTCTGTTCAATGTAGGTACAAGGCTTTTTTTTCTTAAAAGTGTCTTTGAGACAAGAGAGTCGGTACCTGAATACAACGACACCAGTATGGAATCAAAGCAACAATGAAGGAAAATGATTTGAATATGCTACTTGAGTCGCAAGTGTTTTGTCTGTGCTTGAAATCTCCCCAACCGTAGTAGCAAATGTAGAACTCTAAACTTCTTAGTGCTCGAACCTGGGTGCATAAACATGAATGAAGGATACGTGAAGTGCTAAGGCATTATGATATCCTTTTTGTTTCTAACGAACCTGGCTTGTAAATTGATCCGCCAAAAAGAAATCTGGAAGCGTGACCTATGGAACATTGGAAATGGCATAGATTGGATTTCCAGCGAAGAATAGAATTCAGTTAGCAGGAGTATTTGGTAATTTAGTGTTCCACCATATTACCTTGTAGAGAGGAGCACAGATGCAGTGGAACAGGCATGTGAGAAAGAAAAAACGGCTTGAACGATACATCATGTTGAAAGGGAATGATAAAATCGCAATTACAATCTGTAGGGGAAGAAATGAAGTCATCATCATGTAAGTTTAGAAGCTGAATGAAGATCCAGTGAATTCAGATTAAGCATAATTGTCGTACAAGAACCAGCAGCAGCGGAATAAGTTCAGTGAAGACTTTGTAATCTTTTGTCTTCGGATCCATCTCCATGTCAAGGTTCGCAAGTACACTGGCTAGTGCCAATGCTGCAAGGACAAAAGCTAGGAGGAGAACATCAAGGTAGCTCAACTCAGATCCTTTCTTGAAACCAAAAATGAATGACTGATTTACTCTGTATCGCCTCCAGAAGAATATATTAGCAGCATACATAAACATATGTAGAACTATGAATCCAAACAAACTGCAGGAAACGTTTTAACAGGGTAAAGCATAAGTGTAAGCTTTTTTTCTTTGGATTAAGCTATGAGCTTTTGAAATAAAATCTCAGCAAATTATAGCTTGAATAATAAGGCTACCTATAAAGAGGAAACATGGTTTCCATGTACTTAGTACTCCCTGGGTGATTCATAATTTTGCGGGCTCGGATGATCAGAGTAAGTGCTAAAACTAGTGCTGCTGTGAAGCCAGCAGAAAAACCTGAAAATTTAAACAGAAGAAAATGTCACGGGAAAGAAATCAAAGACTACATATGTTCTTGTGCTTATATTTTTTGAACTACAAAAAATCTTGATTCTTACCCGTGGAAAATGTTATTCTATGTCTTGCTCTAGTTTGTGCTGGTCTGAGGAGGATCAATGCATTATTACGATTGAAGTTTGAGAAGTGTTTAATGAATGTTTTCTCCACCGTCTCCATAAGCCTGGTGACCTGTATTGGAAAGTTGAGAGCAATCATACCTTGTAAGGATTTTAGTCTGCTAATTCCTATTGACATGCTTTAGGGTATGATGATGTCGAGTTTGATGTTTTTATTTCCATACAAAAGTCCCACCTGATCAGAGCTACAAAGGTAGGAGTCATCAACCATTCTCACATAAGCTTTTGCTGCTCT